CAGGATCCCCCCTTGGACGCATGGGGAAGGCAAGCAGCTGGAATTTGCCTATTGGCAAAAAAGAAAGCTCTCCACCTTCCCAGCGGGCCGCAGAGTTGGTCCAGCCCAAGGAGCCTCGGTGCTCCACCCGCCAGCAGATGTCTCTGTGCCATGAGTTGCATACACTTTTCAGGGTCATGTGGTCAGGCCGGTGGTCTTTGGTATCTCCCTTCGCCATGCTGCACTCCGTGTGGAACCTCATCCCTGCTTTCCGGGGGTATGACCAGCAGGACGCCCAGGAGTTCCTGTGTGAGCTGCTGGACAAGGTGCAGCAGGAGCTGGACACAGAGGGGTCCAAACGTAGGATAGTTATTCCCATCACCAAGAGGAAGCTGTCCAAGCAAGTGCTAAAGGTCCTGAACACCATCTTTCATGGGCAGCTACTCAGCCAGGTGAGACGGCCATCACGCCAGACACTGAGCCAAAAGGAAATATTAACAAAACATGGATAAACTCAGTCATTGTGTATGTATTCATACAATTTATACCAAATGTCTACTAAAATGGATTATTTATCCACCATCACAACTATAATAAACTTCACTCTGATTTCTAAGCAATATTTTTTAGGATGATGTATTGCTACTATATAGCATTATAAAATATTCGAATACCAGGATATTTTTCTTATTGTTTGAGTTTATGTGATGCTCTCAAATCTAATCATTAACAAACTTTCTGATCTGACTTTCTTTGCTTCTTCCTGTGTCTTTTTATGTTTCAGGTGACGTGTCTGTCCTGTAAGCACAAGTCTAACACAGTTGAGCCATTCTGGGACCTGTCTTTGGAATTTCCAGAGCGATATCACAGCGTAGACAAAGGCTCAGGCTCGACAGCTTACCAGCGCAGCTGCACCCTCACCGAGATGCTGTCCAAGTTTACAGAGATGGAGGCTCTTGAAGGCAGCATCTACGCCTGCAACCACTGCAACAGTCAGTACAATGTTTCACACTGCGACACAAAAGACAGCACGTTCTGGAAACATGTTACTTCTGTTGACATTTTAATTTTGTCTCTTGTTTTTATTGTTTTTGCCAAATCCTGCTGACAACAAACAACCCAGTGAACAGGGCAAAAAACCGATTTTGATTATTCAAACTGACGGTTTTAAATTAGTCTGAATACAGGTTTCTTGATAATGGGATGTGTCTAAATGTTGTTCTAAGTAAATGGGCTTTTTACTGCAAAAAAACACCAGTGATATTCAAAAACCTATTTTCAAGAATTCAAATAACATTTGATTCGTAAGGATTCTGCATTTTGACATTTGTTCAGTTTTGACTCAGTGCCTCAGCCACTATTCTTCTTCTTCTTCTTCTTCTTCTTCTTCTTCTTCTGTCCATTTCTTCATCCAGCAGCAGCTGAGGATAATCACTTGTTGGTGATGAGTGTTATCCCACTTGTTGAAAGAAAAAAAAAACAAAGCTGGGAGCCTTTGTGAAAGACATAAACATGTCTCTTTACTTGTTTGCAAAGCCTGATAAATCGTGAGAGTGTGCCACCTCGACACGAAAGCCCCGCCTCTTATAAATGATGTGCATTTGAAGTCTTCTTTGGATTAATTTATCATCTTGTTGTTTCATGGTTTGCCAGAAAGAAGAAGGAAATCATCCCACAAACCCTTAGTTCTGTCAGAGGCACGTAAGCAGCTTCTGATCTACCGCTTACCTCAGGTTCTACGGCTGCACCTCAAACGCTTCAGGCAAGTTTTTCTACCCCTGGTTTTCTATAACTATAATTAAATAGCTTCATTATTTAAACCAGTTTGAGAAAGTGTTATTAATTATTTTGGTCTCTTCCAGAGTAGGTTATTGTTGTAACCAGACTGATTAGGATTTTTTGAGGCAGATGCTGACACAGATATTAGGGGTTAAAGAATTTCTGATACTCTTAAGATTTCAGTATCAAACCCTCATAGCAGAGAAATGTAGTTGAGATTTGATATTCTACAGTTTATCCATAAACCATATTATACTTAACTACTCTATAAATAAAATGAATAAAACACCAATCTATAGAACTTGAGTTTTTATATAAACTAACATAAATGAGTCTTAATGAATCCTTGTGACAATAACTCGTCCCTGTTGTACGGCAGATGGTCAGGGCGGAACCATAGGGAGAAAATCGGCGTCCATGTGGCCTTCGACCAGGTTCTGAACATCAAACCATACTGCTGCACTGGCTCAGGTCACTCCGTCCACAGAGGAGGTTACACCTACGATCTGTCTGCTGTAGTCATGCATCATGGTAAAGGCTTCGGCTCAGGGCACTACACCGCATACTGCTACAACACAGAAGGAGGTGAGGAATGACGAGAAGACGTTTGTCACACCAGTGTCCGATGTCCCAGTGTTCTGTTTTAACCTGTTTTGTGTTTTTATCCTCAGGCTTTTGGGTCCACTGTAATGACTCTGAGATGAAGGTTTGCAGTGTGGAGGAAGTGTGCAACACTCAGGCCTATATTCTCTTCTATACCCAGAGGTCTGCCTAGGTACCTCTCGCTGTGATGTCGACCTGCACGTGGCAACTTAGAGCTGCATTTATGAAAATGTCCTCTTACTCATCCCTACTTTCCCAGATGTCATTTAACAATCACCTTAAAACGAGTTACTAAAAAAAGATAGCAATGAGGGCAGTAGGACAAACACAATCATGAGCCAAGGTGAAAATGTTAGCAGCATAATCCATGTGAGGAATAATGGTACATACGATAAAATATTACATTTCCCTGGAAAGATTTGGATCCTGTTTTATTCCTAATAAATAAATCAAAAACCTTTTCATAAATGCAGCGACAGGTTTCTCCAACTGTGGGACCAACATATTGGTTTATGGCCTGAAGACTGTGGGAGCAGCTCCGACTCTGTCCTGCTGAACACTGAGTTGTGTGTCTGTGTTTTTAAAAACAATCAGGCTCATGTCTGTTGAGTCTGGAAACAACCAGACACTCAGACAGCATTTTACATCCAGAGGCAACACACATTCTGGGGTCTAGAGCATTTTCTCACTATGTCAACAACGTGCATTTTATTAGAACTGATCATTTGATCTTGATGCACTAAATATTATGGGATACATCTTTCAACATCATCGCATAGTGCCACTTGAATAGAGGAAACTAAAGTCCAGACTCTGTGCTGCCTCACGTTCAGCTTTTTTAATTAATGTGAAATGTCAGTTAGGAAAATGTTTTAATACTCATCATGTTGGTTATTTCACCATGTCCTCTCCTCAATCGTACTGCTGTGATTGGATACTGTGTCTGAGGCCCGAGGCCTCGTAGGCGCTCTCAGTGAAACAGGAATTGTTTTTTTTTGTTTTCAGTTTGTTTTGTAGTCATTCTATGTCTCACTTCCACGGAAAATAAAATGTATGAGCTTCAGACACTTGATTGAAGATGAGCAATGGAAAGCTGCACTTTTGAGGAGGGGCTATCACTGTTGGTCCTATCTGTGATTGTTCATCTTTTAGCTCCTGTAACTTCTTTACAAATGGCAGCTCCCCCCTGTGGTTCAACAGTTAGACGAGTCTGAGCCCAGGTCGGAGACACTGCGCCTGTGTGTTAACTGCAGGACCTGGAATGGAGTGGGCGGACTGATACTGAAGAATGTGTTTCTGGGAGATTTGGGGGGGTACCCTTTTGAGTTGAGCACCTGAAAGCAATATATTGTACATCTTGCATCTTGATAGGAAATTAAGATCAAATCAGGAATTCTGCTTGTTATACAATGTTTTTTTCTACTCTGCTGTTTCTATCAAGGTCTTTAGAATTTGCTAGGTAATCAAGAAAAACTGTTGTGTTTGATACGAGTCAAATGCAAATGACGTTTGTGAACTCGATGTAAAAGTTGGAACAATCTAATGACGATGAATGTCTTACTTTTTAGCGGTCAGGTGTGGCCATGCCACTGGCTCTGATCCCCTTGAGTTCTGTCTTGTACTGTAAGAATACCTGTCATAAATGTAATGGTCATATGGGTTTTGCCTGACAGTAATTATTAAAAAAGACAAAACAAATTTGAATCTTTTAGTCATGTGTTCATTTCAGAGTAAAGGTTTCTCTAAAACATTAAAGAGTTTTGTATGTAGCCTCATTCAATCATCAAAGTGTCTGCACTATAAAGTTACATTCATGATCCATGTCTGTGCAGTCAGGAACAATTTGTCATCTATTCACATAGTTAGCACTATAACAGAGACAAATACAGTTAAGTACATCTGAAATAATCCACAGGATTAGTAGACGGATCCACATCTGATCTGAGGTCTCCTCTTAACTGCTTCTGTAATGCTTTCTTAAAGATTTGAAAACCTTGAATGAATGTAATCTAGTCCAGACAAAGAAGCTGCTGGTATTAGATGTCAATCATCTGAGGATTATTTCTCTTCTCTGCACTGAACTTGCGTCTTATTCCCATATTCACTGACAAGGTTTCTCTAATCAGTGCAATGTAAAGCACAAAGTATTGATTTGAGGATTTCATCGAAGTCTGAAGGACTGATGACATCACGTCCTGCAGATTCATGTAATGTTTTAAACATATTTTATCCATTATCGGTGATTTTTACCTCTTCCAAGGAGGTTATCTTTTCATCTGCTTGTTAATTAGCAGGATTGCTTTGAAACTATCATTTCAGCACCACTTTCTAAGTGGTACTCTTAGGGCACTCTTTATAAGGTCCAAGATTTAAACAAGTGCTTTATTAAAAGGTAAATAAATGCTTTACTTTTACAAATCTCAACCTGGCAAGCCAGACGTTGTTCTTATTAAGAGTTTATAAATGGTGTTCAGAGAATTAACTATTAACTATAAAACATTATTTACAGCTTTTAAATAATATGCATTATAAAGTCTACGATTTTATTATTTTACCCTAAAATAATTCAAATAAAAAAGGTCCCGTCTCAGTTAAGAATGATAAGTCAATCTATTCACCATCTGCCTAATATATGAAATCATTTATTTCTTAAAGTGTTTAATAAAACAGCAATAATTGTTTTTTGCAAACTGGATATAAACTCTGATACATCGAGACATGCCAGTTAATTTGACACTGTGGAGAGAAGCAGTTCTGCAATAGTGGTGATGAAACAGCATCTGTGGACATAATAACAGTTTTAACCTAGTAGAATTATTGTGCTGAACGTCTGTAGATACCAGTGGTTATTGTTATTTTTTTCAAAACTGCTCATTCAAGAAAAAAAGAAACAAAACGCGTCTAAAAGCAAACACCAGACCAGAATGTGAAAGGAACCAGTAAGTGACACCGAATACAAAATATCTGCACTGTCTTCTTACGACAAAATGTTCAGTGTGTTATAGAAGATTCATTTAGTCGTCTATGACCTGTTAACTCATGCCAGCTAAATGCATTTCAGTGCACATACTCGACATGCATGAGCACATGACATTCATGAAAAACAACCTGTTCCTCTCAAATATACCAGCTTCAACATGAAGGTTACATGATTTTACAGTCATCATAAGTTGCTCTATAGTCTTATTAATTCATATTTCATAAATAATCAAAAAAGACGACCCAAAGACGTCTTGCAGGAGTTTTGGTGACAGCAATGCAATCGATGACGGATCATCATCAGATTAGATTTGGACGAGATGAGATGATGTCCTCAGTCTTTTTTATTTTCTCTGTAAACACCTGTCGACACACTGTCCTCATCCTGTCCTCATCTGTAAAAGTGCCATGTTTTGCCCTCAGATGCTCCCACTTTAAAGGTCAAAGGGGACGAGTGCAGCAGCTCTTATCTCATTTCAGTCTCTGAATCCTTAAGTGGTGGTGACAGAGCTGGAACCAGCATGAGACTCTGGATGCTCAGGTCCCCTCTGTGAGTCTCTGGCAGGGCGCTCAGCTGGGCAGCAGCCACGGCTCTACAAAGTCCCACTGCTTCCAAAGGACGAACAGCAGCAGCGTCAGCAGCACGGTGGTGGCCACCCGGGCTCGGGTCTTCATCAGTGGGGTGATGAAGTTGGCCAGCGTGGAGACGAAGACCAGCAGGACGGCCATGAGCGCCAGGATGACATTGATGAGCTTTCCCAGCAGAGCTCGGGCGTTGGCGTTCTCCACTCCCTCCAGCTGGACGACCTGCTGCTGCTGCTGCTGCAGCTCCAGCTTGGTGATGCGGGTCAGGCACGACTCCACGGCCTCCTGCACAAAGAGTAACACAACATGGGATCTAATTCCTCAACAGCTTGTAAAAACTACTTTTTTTATTCATATTTCTGCTGAGATATTTTAATAATCGCTTGATTGTTAGTCAGGGTCAACCGAATATAATCCAGTATTGATGAAGCACATTGGCTCTGGAGGTAGAGAGGGTCATCCCTAAGGTACATGGTTCGATCCCCATGCAGCTTCTCCAGTCTGCATTCCAAAGTGCCACTGGGCAAGATACTGAACGCCAATATTCCCCCTGATGGTTATATCGGAAAAATGATAGAAAAAGCGCTATTATAGGAGTGCTGTGTGAATGTGTGTGTGAAAGGTTAAATGTAGCTTGTACTGTAAAATGCAATTAGATTTAGAAAAAAAAAAAGATTTGAAGCCAAGTTCAAACATCATCAAGTCCTTCAACCGACAGTGGGTTCATTAGTCTTAGAAAACTCTCAGGTACGTTGTTAAGGACCATCCTCATCAGCCATTTTGCAAACCTGTCCATCCTGACCATAGCTGTTTACAGAACAGAACATTACGTAACAATGGCTCATACTCATAGACTGTATGGACGACATGACGGCTCTCCAAAGGTGAAGCTAAGGCTGATTGTCGTTTACCTCCTCCCCTTGATGACCCAGTGACCATCCACTCCAGGACTCTGTGACATCAGTTTTAGGTGCAGTTCCAGGTTCGACATTAAACAAGTCCTACCACATCCAACCCACACAGTGATGCTGGATGTGGTCAGAGGTGAAACAGAGTTTTACCTGGATGTCTCTCGCTCTCTCGTACGACTGGTAGGCCACTTTCTCCTCCATGCTGGCGAGCTCCTGTTTGAGGTTGGTCATCTCATTCTGGTGCAGCTCTGTCAAGTCATTGAGCTGCTCTTCAAGTCGCTCGTACCTGAGTGAATAGGGCAAAAAAAAAAAAATCAAACTTGAACTCTTCTCTTAAGTCATATGACTCCTGCGCATCCAAAGCCTGATACAATATATTCCTCTGTCCTAGAAGCCAAAAACAACTGTTTTTGTCCGGAATTACACAACAAGGGAAACCCCATTCAATTTCACTGTGTATCTGGGAACAGATCCAAATTTTTTGTGTGTGGATTTTTTGGGACATTTGAAATTTTCACAGATTCAGATCAGACGTACTTGTTCAGAGGACTGATGATTATGAGGGTGGGCAAATTGGTGCAGATCAAAACAAAAATCCAGACGTAGTGAATTTAAGTGTGGGGGAGGTATGTACTCTACTGAGTGCCTTTAGAGTTTATTTTTAATTGATCCTATATCTTCTGCTGCTACATCACCACATGTGTTTGCTCCGGTTTTAGGAACATCTGCCTAAAACTACAGTGCTCAGCATTGAACATATTTTAAAACAGTAGTTGGAAAAAAGTACATTTACTTTGACACTGTACTTAAACACATTTTTCATGCATCTGTACTTAACTATGTAGGTACTCTTCAGTTTTATTCCCATAACTATGACAGGAAATATCTGTATTTTCTACTTTACTACATTTTTAAATTACGTTCCATGTTCACATTGTTTTTTTTAGATGTTCTCATGGTAATCAATAACGAGAGGGGAATTTGTCTATTGATCCAATCAGAGTGGGCAGGTAACATTAGACCCCGCCTCTTGCAGAAGTAGCATCACTGGTGAAGAAGAAGCAACACTGAGACTCAGAGGTAATGATGTAGTAAACCGTAGCATTAGGGAAAAGGCAATACTATGTAAGTACTTTTACTTACTTATACTTAATGTAGAAGTGTTGATGTGGTATGTATACTACTTTAGTCTGTTTATTTGTACTTTTACTTAGTAAAATGTTTTTGTACTTCCTCCACCACTGTATTTAGATATATATTTGTGACTTATTGTTAGATTCGCACATTCATTACAGACAAACTGACGTCCTGTGAGATTGAGTAATGCACTGCTGGTTTCAGTCTCTGCTTAGGAAACAATCCCCATATCACAACTATAGGATATTGTTGTCCTTGTCCTTGAAGTGAACAACACTGAGAGGACTGATTAAACCTGAGGTCATATTGAGTTTCTCTGCCAGTGTTCTGAGTATCTCTACCTGTATCTCTCCTCTTGCAGGCACTGTGTCATGTAGGAGTAGTCGCTCTGCAGCTGGCCCTTCATGTCCTCGATGGTGTCCTCCATGTGCGCCTGACAGCCTTTGATTTCCTGCAGGCCCTCGAGCAGAGTGTCCCAGGAGCTGTGCATGTGATGGTGGTGGTGGTGCCCGTCTAGCCTGGGACTCCCCATTGTTGGTCCTAATATGCCCCCTCCTCCTCCTCCTCCCCCGGCCCCACCAGAATTACTGCACGCGCCCGAGCCAGACGTGGCGCTGGAGCACTCGTCGTCACTTCCGTACTTTGGGCTGGAGACCAGAGTGGCACTTCCACTCAGCGCCCGGGGTGTTGGGGTGTCTTCAGAATGGCCCCCGTCCTCGAGAGTGTCTTTCAGGTGAGCAATGTTATCTGCGCTGCCAAACTTGTTCCTGATGAGACTGGCAAACTCTCTGGGCTTGGAGACCACGGCTGTGTGAGTAAGGGCAGAAACGCCTCCTTTGACTCCTTCAACGACACCACCTCCAAAACCACTGATCCCAGCACGAACGTTGGCTCCCACGTCCTTCAGTCCCTGCTGCATGTCCCGCAGGACATCCTTAGGCTGCCGGGCGGGTCCGTTCTGTACAGAGGGAAGAGAAATGAGGAAGCAGAGAAGAGGAGGATCTCAAAGGTGGGAGAGAGGGGATTAGGTTTAAGGGAGAGAACTGTAGGAAGATAGAAGAGGAGAGCACCTGGACACATCTGTCCTCACAAATATAGAACACTGTTTGTGTCAGTTATGAGATAATTATTACAGACAGAGTAGAGAAACATCACACACGCACACGCACACACACACACGCATGCGCGCACGCACGCACGCACGCACACACACACACACACACGCACACACACAAACACACAAACATACACACACTCACTTACTTGTTCTATCTCCTTTAGCTTCTTGTGATAGTGCTCTAGTTTCTTGTGCAAGTGTGCGATGGTCTGTGCCGACTTCTGGTTCTTCTTCTCAAACACCTGTTTGATCCTGGACGCCTGCTGTTTGTCAGCGTTGTGGGCCAACTTCAGGTACTCAGCCACGTTGTCGTCACGGGCCTCCTGCTCCACGCGGATCTGTTCGGTGACCTTCAGGATCTTCTGCTGCAGGTGCTCCAGAGCGGCGCGTGTTCGCTGCGGCTCGGCGGCCACTGAACCCTCTGCACCTCCAGCTGCGACCCCGGACGCTGACACCCCTGCTCCCTCTGCACTGATGTTGCTGTCTGAGCCCCCATGGCTGGTGGTAGAGGGTAGGCCGAGTGTTGCCACCTCACTCTTGTCCAGCTGAGGGGATGAGAGGGCAGGGGGATGTAATGAAGGGTGAGTAGAGCACTACTACATTAGATTTGAAGGTTCTCAGTCATCCAGGTCATGGTATCTTCAGGAGTTTTACATGTGCAAATAGGCAACTGGACTTTCTTGTATTTCCTGAGGATGTTTCACCTCTCAGGGGACTCTGGGGACCACAACCCCCAAATAGTTGGCCAGAGGGTTTATCACGTTGACTCTCAAGATGCCAGTCTAACACAACAATTCATACTCACAATTTAAAGTCTCCAATCAACCTAACCTCAATCTAAACGCCTTGGGACTGTGAGAGGAAGTCAGAGTAAATGGCGAAAACCCAAGCTGACATGGAGGGAACATGCAAACTCCACACAGGGAGACCCCCACCCAAACCAGGATCCTCTGTGAGTCAACAGTGCAACAACCATTACTATTACAACTGGTGACTCAATTACACAAAGCCAACCAAGCCTGTACTGATACATTTACTCAATACACTGTACTCAAGACAAAATGTGAAGATTTTGAGTATTATTATGTGTATTTTGTTTAAAAATCCAGTGTCAACTCAACCTTTGAAGGAATATCATTGAATGATGCTATAACAGATAAACTGCTGCAATGACTGAAGATTGTAGAGTGAACCAAGTGAACACATTTGCAATTCATTAGTTTCTATTACCTCTACCTGGAGAGTATTTTAAAAGATTTAAAAGAAGTATACATACTGCTCAACATGAAATGAGAGTATTTAAAGCTTCTTGTTTGAAGTCTCTGTTTGTGGTGGTAATGCCAGTGAATGCTATGGTGGAGGCATCTGAGAGTAAACAGAAAGGCCCACATGCATTGTGCACAGAACAAACAAGCAACTAACTATTTTATTTGGAAAATGTATGATTGTTTATGAGGTAAAAATCATACAACATGGTATATTTCAAACAACTCTGGCACGTAACAAGTGCCTTTTTGATGATGATGCTGAGATGCAGACCCTGCTCTATGTGTATGTGTTTCACAACAGATGGTGGGATAGTTAATGACCCTGTGCCTGACGTCAAAACACTGTAATCAGACCCTGCAAACATGAGCTCAGGCCGACATGACACAGAATGTCTCGTAGCGCTGCTCTAATTTCTCTGGACAGGACGGTGCAGGGATTCATCTGTATTCTATTTGCTTGATGGTGTGAGATGAGCACAAGCTCCCTGTGCTGTTAGGAATCAACCAGGGTGTTTGTGTGTGTGTATGTGTGTGTTTAACATAGTCGGTTTCAATCGCAGTGTAATGGTAAGAAAAACAGACGACTGCAGTCCCTGCTGGTGAAACATTTCCCGATCTAGTCAGAGAAAGTGAGATGCTGATGCGGTAGCTAAGCGATGGCTGATAAGAGGAGGGGATGCTGAGTCCAGCCATGGTGAAAACAGCACAACAAAAACAACACAGAGGAGCGGACATCAATAGCTGCAATGATGCTCACATCTACTAACATCGTTTAATGATCATAATAATGATTACTAAAGCAAGCAGGGTGATGTCCTGTGATGATTTAAAGCTCCTGGAGGTTGGGAGGGATGCAGGGCTGTGATGAGGAGGACGGAGATGGCAGACTGTCTATGGCATGAAAACAGGAGGACAGGAGTGTTCCCGTACCTTCCTCGGGCGGCAGGAGACACACACTGTGACGTGAGGGATGGCCGATGGACGTCAACAAGCGTGGATGTGAACACACGAGGATGAGACACAAGAAGCACAGCGATAGATTAAATTAGGAACGTTACCATTACTGCTTTAATCCAATTTTTGCAGTGCCATTGCAAGTCTGTTTTTCGAGGCCCATCCTCCTCCTCCTCCTCCTCCTCCCCCTGTGCTCACCGAGGAGGAGCTCCCCCCTCCTCAAATATCTTCACCCTCAGCCGTTGTCAGGCTGGCTATCACCTCTCTGGATCCTAATGCTCCATTGTTAATGCCATCGATAACTGCAGCCTCCCCTCTCCCGCTCTCTAACGCTGTGATCTAGTTCTCCCCCTCTCGCTCGCTCTCTCTCCCTCTCCCTCTTTTGTGTCATATGCTCCCTCCGCCTCTCTCCGCTCTACTCTCTCTCTCTCTCTCTCTCTCTCTCTCTCTTTCAGTCTAAATACAAATGCTGAATGTCCTGCCCTACAATGGATGTGGGAGCTGAGGGACAGATGATGGAGGGAAATGGGCGGGGGGATGGGAGAGATTGGCGCAGGCGTGCAGGTGCCTCTGTGCTGCTGAGGCCAGCAGAGGAGAGAGAGAGAGAGAGAGAGATGAGGGAGGAGGGTGTTGCAGGGCTTGTGGCAGGGCCTGCTCTGGGCCCTTCATCCCCTACGAACACACACAGCCTGATGTGCTGCTGCAGTCATGTGCGGCTAATGTGCTCAGTGAGTGTCTGAGCAGTGACTCACTCTTCAATTTCTTTCACATCTCACAAAGAAGGAAACCGTGTTGTACCACAACAAAGGACAAGTGATATAAATGAGAAACACTCACAGTTACACTTCATGTTCTTCAAATCTGAAATAAAGCCTGTAACAAAAAGGGGAAATCAGCCACTTTCATCCGTTTTAAATATAATTCACTCAAAATTAGGTTCTCTGGGAAGAAGCCAGTTATTACCACTGGTTACAAAATCGTTCTACTTTCTGTTATTTTAAAAATCTAACAAGACAAGTTGTCAGATTCATTTTTACAGCACAAGTGAGACAACGTGACGTTACTCTCACACTTGGTTGTTGCCCTGTGGTGTTTAAACTGTGTCTCAGACCTGTATACACTGAACACCAGCTGTAGAAGAAGTAAGTACAAGAGAACTAGAAAATAAAACTAACGTGCAATGTGAACACAATATATACAGTGTAAATAAAAACCTGAGGGATATATATATAAAGTTCATGTGGTGGACTCTGAGCAGAGCTACAGCCCAACAGCTGCAGGAAGAAGTGACCTGTGATATCTCTTAGAAATTAGAAATAGTCTAAAGTAAATAAAGGATATCTCCTCCCCATCAATTCATTTCTGCCTGTTACAAGTTTTTTTTCTCTCTCTCTACTGTCGCTCACTATGGGAACTGTCATGTTTCTTTTTCATATTGTCAGGTCTCAACTTTAATATGTAAAGTGCCTGTAAAGTGTAAAGTGAGATAATGCCATGATTTGGCTCCAAAATCGAATTTAATAAAATTAAGAAATATTATTTTGTATAAACTAAAAATGAGCTCCTACCTTTATGTGTCAGATAAATGTCCGTTTGTCAACAGATTACACAAAGACTACTGAACGGACCTCAACAAAGCTTGGTAGGAGGATGGGACGAGGATAAATATTTATCCATTCAAATTAAGGGGGGATCTGAGCAAGGCAGCAGATCAGATTATTTTTTTCATTTTCTTTAACATTTGGACAAGGGCCTTTTTGTTATTACAAGGAGAAAAAGAACCAAAAGCAAAGATGACAAGGCAGTAAAGACATTCACAAGAAATTTTACTTTCAGCCTTTTATTGTAATTTTGGATTCTCATAAAAATTTTAAACAAAAACTTAATTAACTCAAAGGCAAAATATCTGACAATAAATAAGGATAAATCTTTTTCATTTGTAGCTTTAACATAAAACAATATGTAGGACCTGTGCACAAGTCTAAAAACAGAAGTGCGTTCATTGTTCAGAGTAATGCTGATAATTGTGTAGACTTTTGTTTTTAATTGTGTCAAACATTTCAAAGCTGTCAATCAAAGGATTAGCGTTACAGTAACCTTGATTGATACCCCATTCAGATTATCCATAGCAGCAGGATTTTCCAACATTTGACATAAATGTCATGTAGGAAAAAAAGAGTATTTGTTTTGAGGCAAATATTGTTCTGATATATATAAAACTAAATAATACCTAAATATAAGTGTTCATCAGACATTGTGAACTACATTAATCTGGTGCTGTACACATGTCAGAGTCTGGACAGAGCACTTGTGGACACACACTTTGAAAATCAATCAGCATATAGTGGAAGGAAGAGGACGTGATGGCACTTCTGTCTTTGTATCATCTTAGCAAAGCGACTGCGTGCACAGGATGTCATTATTCTTCAAGCATTTTCCTCGGTGTACATGATGGTAGAAAAACAAATCCCGATTGAACACTTGGATATATAAAAGTATAATACACTTTGGACTGGAGGTAAAAGACTCCTGGTCCTCATAATACACATCAAGAAATTGTAGAACAGTGGATTCAAAAAAAGGAGCCAAAGGGCTTCATCCATTCTCTAGTTTTCAATCATTCCCTAAATTCATTATGACACTAAATGATGTTGACCCACATAACATCCTTTTCAAGTGTGTACAGTGATATGCTCAGTCATCACGTCTTCGCTGTTCTAGAGGCTCACATTTCCTCTGAAACTGAGACGTGACTATGTTTTACAGCCCTGTGGAATGTACACTAGGATATGTCAGTCTGCACTTTGGCATCCCCTTGATCCAAATGAGTATAAATCCACTATTTCTAGAGATTATGGTCAATCTTCTCCACTCAAATGTCCCCTACCTACAACTGGGAAAAACACCAACCACCCCGGAGAGAATACAGTACCCCAATTTAATCTGATAGTGATCATGTGTAGCTGAGGTCCCTTCTGTTTTCATGGCGATTCACTGGGTTCAGGACGTCCCGGTGAGTGACAGTGCGGCGTCTGTGCAGAACGTACTATTCCTGAGTTTAGTCTGTGTAGTTCTCGGAAATAATGGAATATTACACTGCATTGAAATTCACTCGCCAGATTTGTGCGGCATCCAAACCACTCTTCGTTTAGTCTGGTAGAAATCTGTTGGAATGAAGAAACAGGGTATTCAGCTCATGCAAAAACTACCAGAAATGACATATATACAAATTCACTGTTGCAGTATTTAAAAATGTACCTGTGAGGTTGGTCTGTTTCCTCTTGGCCCCTGCTTTCTCTATTTTCTCTGGTGATTTCTCAAAGTTCTTCAGATTGAGTGCACACCTGTTTGGCAAACTCGGGACGTTCTCCTTGTCATTCTGCAGTGGCTGCAACCTTGCTCTCTTGGTCGCTTCTTTTGCCTTTGGTGACCTCTGACCTTCTGTTTGACCCACATCCACCATACAGGACCTGTAGAGCATGGGCACCTTAGTACCTGGGATGGCCTTCCACTGGAAATCGCTGCTCTCCAGGGGCTTGTTGGACATGAAGTCGAAACCCCAGCGGCGTGAGGCCTCCTCCAGGTCTTTCCTCAACGCTGCCTGGTAATCCACCTGCAGCTGCTCTCGGTCCAAGGCTCCGAACAGGTTTCGTCGAGCGGAGCCCTTAACTGTGGAGCTCAGGATGCACTTGTGAGCTGCCATGATTCTACACTGCAGGACACAGAGGAAATCACAAATTACTTTCCTGTCAATTGACATATCGTTGCTGCTTTACTTCGTAGACCCTTAATGATAGAATAGTTTTGCACAAATAAAAGATACAATGATTCCTCTGAAATGATCTCAAATGAATAAATGATTCTTCACACAAGTAAAATCTTTTTCTAAAGAAGTTAAGTTAAGTTAAGCTCACCATGATTGAACCTGGTCCTCCGTGAAGACTAGAGAGCTGTGTCTCATACTATTGTTACAGAGGAGCTCTTTATAGCAACAGAGAGGGCAGCACCCTCTAACGTGACTCACTGGTAACATGCCTGAACATAATCTCACGCAGACATGTAGGGACAAGTCTTCAGCACGGAACACTCCCTGCAGACACACAGAGCCAGCACTGGGTGGCAGTGTCAAACCATCCCAGAACACAACAAGCCTTCTAGCAACTGATCAGGAGTATCTGATCACTAAAAAAAATCAAATGATGGACTTATAAATCTATTGATCAGATCAGTGTTTTCCATTTTCTTTGACTAACTGTTTGGGGAAGTTCCCTGTGAGAAGAGAACTACAGGAAGGAATCAGCAGAATCAGTCGTTATGTGTGTGTGGGAAGGGTTGGGCAGGATTCCCACGTCAGGGAACAATCTACAGAAACCAGTCCACCCTCATCATCCTGCTGGAGAGGTCACACTAATGAAGGCTTGCTAACGCTGATTAGATTTATATTGTATTTTATTAACGGTTCCAGTTAGACAGATGGAAGTGAACATGAGTTTATTAAATATAATATATAATAATAAGATGTTCACCAACTACAGCCAGGCTCATGGACTTCAGTTTGTCCTATAGACTCTAGGTCATGTGATGGGGCGGTTTTATTATATATTACTTTAGGGGAATTCTAATTTTATGAAAGGAATCAAGAAAATGTAGTTTTCAAGGCTTGTGGCGGGAGAGCGAGTCATGCACAAGGGGGGTGTGGTAGGGGGGTGGACACCAGCTCCTCGGTTCAGGAGGAGGAGGGAGAGGAGGAGGGAGAGGAGGAGACCCAGACCCTGCCCAGTTTACTACACCGCTCCACGTGAGGCTGCAGCTCGTGTCCAGGAGTCAAACTGGGGCTGTCACTGTCTGCAGCCTGCACCATAGAACGTGTTTATCTGAGTGTGTGTGGAAAACACACTCAGATAAAAGTAGATCAGCAAGAAATCTATAAGAGATGTTTGATTTCAAGGTCTGATGGATACATCAGAGCCTGGAAAATGAATTAAAAGGGAAATGATCCAATGGGATTTCAGGTTATTTTGGTTCTGGAAGTTATGAGTTATGAAAACATGTCATCTATAAGGCTGGAGATAAACCAGGCCCACAAACAGTGTGTGTAGACATTTATCTCTTTATAAGAGTTACTTATAAGCTAACAAAACCCATTATAAACTCATTACATGAAGAAAAAAAACATCAATAAGTATGATTTCATAATTGTACTCACATTATCAGGTGTCTTCAGCCCAGTTGAAGTTTTTCTTGTGTCAGATTTGTTGTTAAGGTTCCTCTGTGAAGTTTTAAATTTCACACTTTCACAACAGCTTTGTTATAAATATAAAAACCACCACCCTGAGGCTGCTGTTATTCAATCCTGTCTCCTCTCGATTATCACACCTAACACAACCTTACACTGAGCTTCTCCTCTTCCTTGATCAAGTCTCCAAGTGTTTTTCACAGGCATGGATAACGGGCTAAACTTTTATGAACTCCGGTGGGCGGGGCTGCGGCTGTCCTGTGCGGGGGGGGGACTCTAGGCCCCACACACGTGGATTTTTCCCCGGGAAGGAAAAGAGCACACGTGACGGTCGTCTCTGAGGTCTGTAGTAGTAAGGAGGAGGAAATTCCAGCGTCATGTCGACCCGGCCCAGCCCAGGCTCCGTGCGTCTCAGTGCGCACATCAGAAGATCCCACCTCTGCAAAGAGCTTGTTCTTTTTTCAGTCAGTCTTGCAGTGCCTGTTCTGAACATGCTAGTTTTCTAGTCCTGTGTCAATGCTCCGGAGCCACTTCAGAAGTATTCCTTGTCATTAGTTTCCTCAAACAGTTCTACATTATACTCTCATTTCATTGTTTGTGTGCTGGACGTTGTGTGCAGAGATTTTTATAAGCAGCCTATGGTGCAGAGTGAAGTCAGAAAACTTTGTGTTTATCCTACCTGGTTTATCTGCAGGGAAGATTTTACAGTCAATATACTATAACAAGATGAAACTGAATCAGCTGTATAACTGTTAATGTGTGTGGTTTGTATATAACTTTGAATGATTTGCTTAACCCGTTTTTTTCTTTCTTTAATTGCATGTCGGCTATTTCAGAGGCCATCAAGCAACTGACACATTATTATTAATATTGGACAGATTGCGTGTCCAAATTGCAGCAATTAACAACACACTTGTCAAATAAAGTGTAGCTGATTAGATAAATGATTCACGAGATATGTGCACCACATATAGACAAATGTTTCTGAAATTAGTGATACAGACACATTTTCTGCTTTTGCTTGTTTTAGATCCCACGAAGAGGAAAACACACACCAAATCAGAGTGGGGTGGGGGGATGGGGGGGGAGTCACCGGCTCCTCGGTTCAGGAGGAGGAGGAAGAGGAGGAGACCCAGACCCTGCCCAGTTTACTACACTGCTCCACGTGAGGCTGCAGCTCGTGTCCAGGAGTCAAACTGGGGCTGTCACTGTCTGCAGCCATAGAATGTGTGTTTCCATACACTCAGATAAAAGTAGGTCAGCAAGAAAAAAAAGTTTGATTTCAAGGTCTTATTTTGGTTCTGGAAGTTATGAGTTATGAAAACATGTCATCTATAAGGCTGGAGATAAACCAGGCCCACAGTGTGTATAGACATTTATCTCTTTATAAGAGTTACTTACAAGCTAACAAAACCCATTATAAACTCATTACATGAAGAAAAAAAAACATCAATAAGTATGATTTCATAATTGTACTCAAAGTATCAAGTGTCTTAAGCGCAGTTGAAGTTTTTCTTGTGTCAGATTTGTTGTTAAAGTTCCTCTGTGAAGTTTTAAATGTCACACTTTCACAACAGCTTTGTTATAAATATAAAAACCACCACCCTGAGGCTGCTGTTATTCAATTCTGTCTCCTCTCGATTATCACACCTAACACAACCTTACACTGAGCTTCTCCTCCTCAAGAACAAGAAAGATAATGTAAATAACTATTAAAATAAAAAAATATCTATTAAAACCAGTTATTATTTAGACATTCAACAAAGTAGTTTTTATAGTATAAGTAGAACTTTTATCAATACTGCAAGTTTAGGAACACAATTATTAGAAAAACCAATTATAAAGCCTGTGCCCTTTCATAGAGTTATATCATGATATATGCATAATAAATGTAATTATTACTTAAGCACTCATGTTTATCCAGCAGTTAAATGTTGTAGCAGCTGGAGGTGGAGATCATTTTGACTACAGTATATGTACAAGTAGTAGTTCAATTTCCTAATGCCAAGCAATGTAGAGGAGCAGAAGGATAAAGCACAATAAAATGTATTAACTGTAAGTATCTTTGTAAAATAAAGACTGTTCTCAAAAGCATTAATAAAGTTTGAGAATGTTATAGTCAAGTTGAGGTTATAAGCAGCTCCACTCTCTGATTTGGAGAAGAAAAAAAACGACTGTACAAGATATGATGATAATACCACATTTTAAAGAGTTTAAAGAGAATTAAGAGAATTAGCCTGTAGTTCTCATAATTAATCTCATAATCCTTTTTCAATAAACCTGTTTCTCTAACAAGCCACTTAAAAAGCTTGAACCTTCACACATATGGTTCTCCTGATGCTGATCCGCCTGTTCATCTTGTTGTTGGAGCCAGGTTAGTTTATCTCTGCCCTAAATCAGCCGAGAGACAACTCATTCTTCCCGACCCAACCGTGCTGCCGTTAAGCCGAACTCCCAGCACAACAACAGCCAAGTCCCAACTGTAGGATGCGGCGTATAAAAGCCCAACAGACAGAACACCCCACTGACTCCTTTGTTGAGCAGCTACTACTGGGACACAAGAGAAACACACAAGTCTGCTTTAGAAAGTTGTTTACATCTACAGTTCAACTGTATTTAGTGGTGGATATGTGAAGTTAATGTAATTCAAACAAAATGGGGGAAACAACGAGTGCATATGCTGTGTGTGACCACAGCCAAAAGCTCGACATTTGTACAGCTGAGTAGACACTTTATTATCTGTCAGCTCCCAGGCAGCTGCAGTCCCCCTCACATATTCTTATGCAGGCTTTTATTCTGCGTGTTCTGTGAAATGTTTCACATCAGAGGTGGTGCCAAATGAGGCACATCCAGATGACACTGCTTAGTTAACCATTTATTGATTGATATTTATTATCAATAGAATTTGGCTCTTTGCAAAATGATACCTGCGACCGTGGTGATGCAACATGGTTGTCCACAGAACACTTAATGTTTTACCTCATGGGTCAGGTCAGGAGAACTGATACCTCTGTGAACAAAGTGTCATTAAACCCTGTGTGTAATTGTGTCAGCTTCATACATTAAGACCATCTGTGTAAATTTAAAAAAGTCAGTTAAGAAATTTTTTTCATATTCACTATACAGAATTTAGTATGTAAAAGAAAATAAATATTTTGCTCTTCCCTCATGTGATCCTGCAAACTAGTGAACTTGATCATTTACAGGACAAACAGAATTCCATAATATTCTAGTATGTGTCACTTCCCTGACTGTATATACGAACAATGGGGATGGGATGTGGAACAATATATTAAGTCTTACAGTACACAAGCTTCATGTCCAAAGGACACATTATTCAAGCCAGTAACCTTGCAAGGCTGCTGGATATCTCACAAGCAGGAATCCAATCATCTGGCACAGCAGGCAAGGAAGTTAATGAGCATTAGCCAAACACAGCTCCTTTACCTCAGGGCACATTTGGGTCATTTTTGTCACTGTGAAACTTTCAGATGAGATTCATGAAGTCACTGCTTCATGCCAAGAAATAGTCCAGCACAGTTCCCATACCGTGCAACCACACCCTGTTATTTTTACACTTGGTTTCCCTACAAGATGTAGGTATAGAATGTGAATTAAGGAGCAAGGTGGATTTTTGTTATCTGTGGACTTAATGTTATAAACTATGTATCAATCTCATAATACTGAGCAAGATAAGAGTGCGAGAAAGTAACATACATTGAAAAACTCAAAAAGCAACAGTAGATTGAGTGAAAAGTAAAACCATAAGGAAATAATATTATACAATCCAGTTGAGTATTCAACACTGAAATTGATAATTGTACAGTAAGGGATAATGATGTAAAAAGTGCAGAGACCTTCGGATTCCCCCCCTGCTTCGTCGTGTCTCGTGTCCTGAGCTCCGCGGGCGACAGACACCACACATGTGACATAACAGTGGGTGTAAACACGGCAGGTTTCTCAGTGGATTTATCCATAAACATTTGTCCAAACATTTAATAAGCCTGCACCTATATATAATTATCATTATTATTATGTTATACTGAGTTAACTATAAGAGCTTGATTTGGGCGCACAGCCATGTACATCTGAGTGGAGATGTAGAGCTGCCCAAAGCTTTTCACTAGATTCCACCAGTGATCAGTTCCCATCTCTGTGGGTTTTTGTAACTCGCGCATGCTACACGGCGGTGGGTGGGACAGGGGGCGGGGTCGCTCTGACTGATCACTGCACTGACGTCACACGGGCTTCAGTAACTCGTGGAAAAGCGCGCGCGTTTATGAGCCGGGAATTCTCGTGATGTGCCGGTTCACGTGGATCGTCTGCGTGAAACGGAGGCAGCTCGTGGGCTTGATCGGGATAGGACGAGCCAGCTCGCGGGCTTCTTCTTCTCCGGGACAAGCCCACGAGCTCTCTCCGTTCACGCAGACGATCCACGTGAACTGAATAACAGATGAACAGTAGGGTGCACCATACATGTTTGTGAGAACATCCGCCGCTGTACATTTACAAAATGTCATTTTAAAACCACAATTTTAAGTTGAATTAAATCTGTCTCAATAAAACCTCTAATGCAAAACTATAGATGAATTATATTAATCTCCAGGTGTTGAACTGAAATCATTCCTGCAGGAACTGTTGAAAATGTTTTAACTCTCCACTACATTATCTTTAGTGACTTTATCAGCAGCACAAGGACTCTATCCTCTCCCTATCCTACTCTATCTCATGCCAGACACTGTTCGACAGAAAAACAAATGCAGGTGAGGGCATGAACTTCTCCTCACCTTATTTTTCTCTTTCTTATGACTACATCACTTTCTTACAATGTTTGACAATGGGACACAAACAACCTCACCCTTACTTACACCTGTATAATTTAAGTATATTGTATTGCTCAAAACTGTAACACATACTTCATTAAGAGTCAAGTTACTTATATAATAAGTACTGTTTATACAAATATTTTTCTTAATCACTTTTCCTAATCATTGTCACAAATCTGAATATCATCATCACAAAGTTTTAATTTCACCAAAAAGAGGCATCTTAAAAACAGGTGTGACTTTAAACTGTCAAATTGTCAGAATTACATATAAAAAAAATCTTTGAATGTATCTAAATGTTTGGGTACAAGACAAAATGAATGTAGTTATCTAGCCATAAGTAGTTACCATAATCACACTGAATCACCATAGTGAGTCATTTCAAATATTTAACACACAAGTTATTCCAGTATAACAGGAGAAATCTCAACCTCCCCTCCAAGTTGTAAAATTAGTAAATTAAGAGGCAAACAGCACTCCAGAAAAACCAAGCAAACCCTGACACATGGCAACAGGCAATGATAACACAAATGAAATATACTGAAGTAGATGCTATAGGAGTGCCCTCTTGTGGAAAATAAACTGGATAGATGTCAGAGTAAAACATTAGATTTCAGAGTAAAACATTAGATTTGCATATAATCATGTGAGGTAAAAAAAAGAGAAAAAAAGATAAGCAATGTTTAACAGCCAGTATTTTTATTGAGACCGTTTCACAGAGTATGAAACAATAAAATAATGGAAAATGCAATTTACCAAAAGTAGACGTGTTAACACCTGTTTTTTTAGTTTTTTTTTTAATAAAACCTATGCCATAATTTTGCATCTCCATTAACAGATGAAAACCTTCAGTATGAAGAAAGTTGCTCGCTGATATCAAATTGGCTTTAGAGACAAACAGGGATGCAATTACACATAGTCCCAGTCCTTTGAAAAAAAAATGCTGGTGTTTACACAATGAAAACGAAGAACTACTCACACTATGTCGAACTACACAGTACATTCAAAAACCCAAAAGGTATCAAGAGTTACTGATGAAGTGGAATGCTAGGTGGTACAGCTGTTTTGGGACAAAGGAGACAAACAATTTCTGTGAGGGGTCACTCCTGTCCACACCCACTAAAAAGTATTTGAAAATCACAATAACAGCAAAACAGTAGGGACACTAAAATGCTTGATTGTTTTAAAAAATCCAACACAAAAATGAACAAAGTTGAAGTCCATCATGAAGCGGCATAGCCTATGCAACCGTTCATTTTTAGCTCCCTTTACACCTTCACACATTCCTTTATTTTCGGTCATTGGACCTGGAACGGCTGCAAGGAAGGAAAAGGAAAAATGTTAAAGCCAGGAAGAGAACGGACCAAATTGTCACTCACAATCTAAGCAATACACTCAAATTAGCTTCAGTTAAATACATCCAAAGGACACATGTATGCTGAGCATTATTATCTGTGGTGAAGGGTCCTCTAGAAACCACATTGGATGTGCAGTAGTTTTAAATCATCTTTAGATATATCAAGAGCGAGTAAGTACCTTCGTGATCGAGAGAAGGATCTTGAAGGCTTGTGGTTCCTGTCCCTGGAGAGGGACCTCTCCCTCCTCCTGTCTCTGGAGAAAGACCTGAAAAATATGAACAATCCCATTAGCTTAACATCATTTCAGTTTAATTCAATCAAAGGTTTATTCTTAATTAGAGAGGTTCTGATATTATTTTTCCCTTCATGACACATGTCCTTTACAAATCAGCAGATCCAATTGAAATAAAAATGAATGCAACGTATTTTAACAGTTTATGTAAACCTGTGTAGAAGTGATGATTACCATCATTGTGGCCCGTTTCTAATGTTTTAACTTGGCAACAATAGTCCAGCTCACCAAAACTTCAGTCTTGCATATGGTCAAGTTGCTTTTTACTTGTGGGACTTTCCAACATAAAATATTGTCAAATTTTTAAGCATGTTAGCTAGCTCTGGTTAACAGTATGTTTCATTAATTTGAGATAGATGTATTATGATGTCCAAAGAATGTGAAAGCTTTAATACCTGCTACGACTGCGGCTGAAGCTCCTCCTGCGTGGGGATCTGCACAGGAAAAACACAAAATTGTTTAAAAACAAGGAGACGCACTGAACAGCCTGTATAGCTCCATGCCATTTTAATCCTTTTCTTATATGGGCCACCTTCAAACACAGCTGTTTGTTATCTTGGTAACTCAAAATGAAAATTAGACTTTCCCCCCTCAAAAGCAATGATATCATTAGAAAATGTAAATCACTGGCAATGGACCTAGTACATAAAGATGGCAGATGCTTACGAATCACCCCCCTTCTATCCCATAGTATCATGTTCATTTTGAGATTAAGTCAGCAGTGTGAAATTTTCTCTAATTGGCAGACATGGATGTTTGTACGGGCACCTGAGCTTCAAACCCTTTTACAAAATGATGAGTAAGCTTATCAGCAGCATATGCCCCTTTCGAAAGATTTAACACCACACTGTGGACTGGCTCTGTGTGGAAACAAAAATACACACAGAGGCCACCATCTGTATGAAACTGGTCCACTGCAGTTCAAGGAACATAAGAATATGGAGGCTAGTGTCAAAGTCCAATGCGATCTGCTAAAACCAACCACACAGCATTAAAAATTTTCTGATATTCATTGGGGGGTTGAGAAGAGTTTTGACTTATGAGACTTCATAATTCTGCTCAGAGCCCCCAAAACATACCAGATGATAATCTATAATCGATTATCTCTGGTAATGTCAAGTTCCAAACTTTTGGTGTTGGACCCTTCCCATTTGAAACAAGGAATTACAGAAATGGTGGACAAACTAACAAATTCAAATCATAAGAAAAAGAACTACCTTTTCAAACCAGCTGTCTCTTCACTTTCAAAACTTATCAGCAGTGTACTGAATGAAGCAGGAAAACTTACTAGTATTTTTGGTTTTCAACAAGCTAGATATGACGAAAGGGAGGCAGACTGTCGGCCGGGTAGGTAGAATTGGCTGAATAGGACTGGCCAGATGCTGCAAGGTGATTAGGTGGCAGGCAGATGGGGGCTGGCTGTGGCTTTTTTCCTGCTTTAATTGGTTAGCCGAAGGCTGCTGCTGGTAGGTTGTAGACATTTGGAAACGTAATACGCTGATTGGTCGGGAATGTGAGGTGGGCCGCTGCCGTTTGGGTTAAGGTTGAAGGAGGAGGAGGTTGAGAACGGCATGCTGAGGAACCAATGGGCTGGTGCAACCTGACGACTGGCCATGCCCGGGTCATGTGACAGCACCAGCCAAGCTGATTGGGGCACGATGGTCAGCAGTCACATGATGCTGAAAGAGGACTAGTTGATTGACTCAGAGGGTGGTGAGAAGAGGCATGGTGGTGGCTCTGCAACGGGTTTCATTCTTATTAATATAGATGAAAATAAAGAGCATCCTCAAACAAAAGGAAATAAAAGCATCACATTTGGCACCCCCCACCAAAAAATTCAATACAGACTAAACTTCTTCTGACATCCTATGTTGTATATATATTTCGTATACGCAATTTGCCAATTGAAAGCAGCTAAACTGCAGAAACTACCTGAAAGTGCACAGAAAATGTAACAGATTTTAAGATGCACTTTGTAATTTAAAGGTTGTACTACCTAACCTTTGAAAAGGAAACGTTCCCATCTCTTATTTATTAGTCGATTTTTAAACGTCTATCTGTCTAGCGCCGTACACTCAATGACCAATAATGTAAATGATGATGAAACTGCAAGCCTTAGACATTGCAACAGTCACAAATGTAAAATCAGAAAAGGATTACAAACAATAGAAATGCCTAGACTGGAAAAGTGTGAACAATTACCAGGAAATTGTACTGTGGGTAAGAGGGTGGATTCATCAAGCATTATCAATGTATATGAGGTGTTGTCTCTAGTGGCAACTGACAAACAAAAAATATGTAGGTCACCTTCGCCTGGGTGGTGGACTGCGACGCCTGTAGTCATCTCTATCTCTGGGACGTCTGCTCCAAGAAGGAGGGGCACCACGGGTTCGGCTACGTTTCTCACCATTTGACAGCTCCACTCGTACACGGCAGCCACACAATGTCCTACAAACCAAACAATCAGCATTAACCACTGTAGCTGCTCCTCTTATTCAAATCACTGATTTCCTAGATAAGATCGTCTCATACCTTCCATCCAGCTCACGCACTGCATCAGTGGCATCTCTAGGATCTTCAAACTCTACAAAGGCAAAGCCTGGGGGGTTCCTGGCCACCCAAACACTGCGGAGAGGGCCATAATAGCCAAATGACCGCTCTAGCTCGGTCTTGTTTCCATTGTTTCCCAAGTTTCCAACATAGACTTTGCAGTCAAGAGGACAGTCACGGTGCATGACTGAATCTGGAAAACAAAACAAAGAGGAAATGAATAATTGATGCAAAATATAGTTCAGACTTATCCACTAAACACAAACAAAACCCAAATGCTGTTTGTTTATATCACCGCACAACAATGAAGGAAGACAAAGACTGAGCACAGCTACAGGATTCAGCTACTTGTGCTTAGTGCATCACACAGATCTTTTCTGTATTATGGAAAGGGATCAAGCACGTAAATAATCAAAAGTCATTCAAACGTGTGGTGCGAAAATTAACCCTATTTTTTAATATTTTCGTAAAATTCTACGCAACTATTGAATTTCTTCTGAACATACCTATACAGGTTGTAAGTTAAAGCGCCGCTAAACAAGTTATTAAGTTAATATAACATTTACATCCATTATATTTACCAAAGAACCACGTTTTCAATCAACTCCACACAACCCGCTGCAGCTTGGCCTACTTTTCTAACGGACTATCAGGCTAGGCTAATGCTAATGTTAACAGAAATACTAAGCATGGGACTCCAAAGTCTGTTGAGGATACATTTTCTTTATCTCCGTGCCTGTTATTCTACATGCGGCCATTATTGCATGTTTAACATTTGACTTAAGAATATATTTCGAGCCTCTGGAGCCAGTGAGATGGAACAATGTTAGCTGGCTAAGGATAGCTAAAATGGCTGTCGCCTTTTTGGGGCCTACACAGCATCATTCGAGGAGCAACGACAGAAATCTAAAAGATCGATTAAATTGACAGAGCGATGCGATTAAAAGGTTTCGTAAAGATGGATTTAGAAAGAAAATGAGTCCAGGCGTTACCTTGTTTGAAGGAATCCACAGTTCAGGCTTTCCGCGCTCCTCCGATTGAGTCGCTCTTCAGTTGTCGATGGAAAATGGCGTGTTCGGAAAATGCACTGGTGAGCTCGGTGAGCAGCAGACTACTCCCGGAGAGGCGGGGCTAGTTCGGGGCAGGGGTTAGGGGGTTAGTTAGCTTTGGATGTTTCTCACGACAGGCCACGAGTTTCACTTGTTTTACAGAAATATGAATTAAGAGTGTGGGAAGTAAAATAGTTTTGGCATTTTAATGAGAACTTCAAATGGAAGTCATTGGTGGGATTCATTAAACTCCAACATCATTTTCGGACAATGTTCAAACATTTCTCGGGTATTAGAAGTAATAGGAGTACTACCACAATCCCATAATAAATAAGCGTATTCTTCTTCGTCTTCTTCTTTTCTTCTTCTTATAATTATAGTTATTATAATTTGTTTTGCAAATTGGTACAGACTGTATACTTCAAAGCATTAGCTAATAGTGTGAAAAAGGGAAATGTTTTCTGCATATAATTTCAACTGAAAAAGACATTTGGAAAGAAAATAAATTATAAAGATTAGATAACATAATCCTTTATTAGTCCCACAATGGGGAAATTTGCAGTAAGAGAAAATAAAAATATGTTAAATTGAACATATGTCATTAATAAAGTTACGGTGTTTTAAAACAACCTCTGTTGTGAATTTTGGCTGACAGATTAATTTATTAATTGAGTCGTTTGTTTATTTTTCTATAATCTTTTTTAATTTTTTGTCCTTCGTCAACGTATCGCTGCTGCCAGTGACGTCATCTTTCGTTGTCCCAAGACGAGATCGCGTCTTCACTACTGCCACGCCCCCGCCGTGTGTTGGTTACCGCCCACAAACTTCCTCAGCCCGGTGACAGCTGAGCCTGCAGGAACTCGCCACGGCTCTGCGCGACTTTACGCTACGAAACAGACGCGACAACGATATTCTTCAACTCCACATGAAAAGCCACACACTGCATCGCACACCTCGACTGTGTTTCTCCTCGCTGTTTCACTCGTCGTCATTTTAAACCCGCTCTCGTGCCTCGTCCGCTGTTCACGTCGAGGAGCGCAGCCAGCTAGCAGCGGTTAGCTTCCGTCGCTTCTGCCCCGAGGAGACAGCGAGCGGTTGTTTTTTATTTTAGTCCCGGTAACGTCACTCACACGCACGCAGGCAGCATGGCAGAACCGGCCGCGGAGGCGAAGCTGGAGGTGAAGCAGGCGAGCAAGGAGGTGAAGGAGAGCGAAAACGTAGCGGAGAAGTACTCAGCAATGACCGTGAGCAAGAACAGCGAGATGAACATGGGAGAGCTGTCGTCCGCGTTCAGCGCCGTGCCCACACACAAGCCCGTGAAGAAGGTAAGAGTCCGGCTAAAGCCCTGCTCAAAGGCACTGCGGTGGCTATTTACCTGTTTAAAACTGACCAGGGGACGTTATGTAATCTGGCAAATGTATATACTATATTATTACCAATATTGTATCTGGTGTTCCCTATTTAAAGCTGCAACCTGTGTATATGGGTCACCTCCCCGTATATTATTATATTTAGAGTATCTAACACTAACATAACAGCCCATAGTCAATTTAGTGATGAGTTATTGGTGATGACAACCTTCAGTTATTTGGTAAATTCCATAAATGTCCTGTTATTCTTATTCTACACTTTTAAAGAAATGTTACTTTAGTTATTTATTTATTTAGGCTTTATTTCAGACTCATAGGTCCATATCAGTATAAAATGAAAATAAATAAATTACAAAATACGGCACAAAACTATAGAATACAATGATCACACTTCAACGTATACTTGGATTCAAATCACAGTTTAAACACAGTTAAATTTACATTCAAAGTAAAATGCACCATGTAGCTATGCCAATACACAGACATTGATTTATTCAGTGCAGAGACACTGACCTGTGTTGTTACACTTCCACCTTTATTTCAAATTTATCACATAGACTTGATTTCGAATCTTTTAACACCTCATGTTTAATTTTTGTGCCAACCTCTTTCAGGATTGTATTCTGTGCTGCTTCGATAGAAAGAAATACACTGGCAAATGATTCTCACAACACAGAGAAACTAACATGGAGTGTCTCTTGATCTGTGCTGCCAAATCAGTTCTGTACGTGTTGAGCAGGTTTATGAATCTAACTTGTATTTCTGACCTCATCCCCATCCAGGAAACAAGAATTTTCCATGTAACAAATAGAAAACAGCAATTCATTGTTCAACAAACCAGGAAGAGTTGCACATTGAATTATTTGGTTGAGAAAAGAAAGTAAACTGGGGTGGATAATTGAATAGCTCTTTCTGACTAAATACACCCTGAAGTTTTTTACATTCGTAACAACGTATTGTTCAGCTGTGATCAGGATTCTGTTGACACTCTCAGCCCTAGATGTATTAGTCAGCCTGCAGCCTCATTGTAGACCAACTGTTTCACATCCTCATTGTTCATTGGGAGGGACTTAATGTGACTACAATCCTTAGCTTGCATAAGATGGATCCTTTTATTTATTTTGGTCAAACAGTGTAATGTTGTACTATTGGAATTAAATCGGCTAAGTTCACTTGGGGGAGCGTTGACAGAAGGGGAGGGCATCAACAGATGTGTTCCAGTTGCAAATAATAAAACAAATCACATCATGGTAAAGAGCTAACGTAAATCACCTGCTATTTTTATTTAATCTCAGTAAAAGTAGAATATGTACATGAACACTGTCACAAACCTGCACATGACTTTATTAGATGTTATATTTGGAAGAAATAGCAAGAAAAGTGACTGACAATTGTAGGTATTTGTCTGCGGTGTGAGGTCAAAGGTAGCTCCAGCCCACACTGTGAGTAGAAAGAGAACTGTCAGTGTGGTTTGTTATACACATGTTACACATGTTCAGTTCGTTCAGTGGTTATGTCCTGTAGTTAATATTTAGGTATTGGTGCTTAAGTTGCAAGCAAATGATTACACATGGGAATTAGGTTGGAGGTCAAGGTCAGGTATGGGTTTCATGTGGCTGTTTGTTTATATTTTTGTATCAAATTATAACATTTTTGTCACTCATGCTCCATCTTTGTTATATCTATACATTCTTTAAAACAACAGTAACCTATATAACAAACAGTGTAGGCAAGAAAAGTAAATAGTTCTAGGAAAATTCATAGTAAAATATGTCTTTTATCCAACGCTGTTTAAGAAGTGCATATTCTAGATTATAGGTAATCTAAATGTCGCGTTTTCATCCCAGTGAGGTAATTTGTTATGCTGTTCGGTGAAAAATAAAATGAGCCTTGAACACAAAAGAGGCATAAAACATAATAAAAGTACTTAAAATATATTGTAAAAACACGTAAAAACAAATGTTACAACCCACCACAACAGCCCATATGAAACAATGTGCATCAAGTGACAGAATATCAAAACCTGCAGGTCTTCTATTCATCAGTGGTTAGAACAACCCTTCAGTGTTGGAGTCTAAGAAGCACTGGCAGGGAATAAACGCAGTCTTAACTAAAACCTGAGTGTCAGGCGTTGGGACCCTGCAGCCCACAATATCCTGTCCAGGAGAGAATATGTGGTGTCTTGTCACCTTTAGCTCACATTGTTCCTGGTTGCTGTGTTATTTTCACTGGTATGTGGAGGGTTTCCAGCACCAGCGCTGAACTCAACTAGAGACTGACCCGGCTTCTTTTAAAAAATGTGGAGTGAGCCTGAATACCTTTACTGACAGGATTGACATCTCACTTACACTTTAGTGACTTATTTAGGTCTTATCTAATCTCCACATGATCTGATAAAAATAAATTTTAGAAACTGCTGAGGTTTATAGATCTGCCCGCGTCCTCTTTTTCATACCTGGACTCCCTCCCTTGTAATCGAGAGGATAATGTTACAGCACCCAGAGGAGTTTTCTCAGCTGTCTCATGTTGCTTCGACGTATGCAAAAACTCTGTCAGCAACTTTTTCCTGGTTTATTCACTTGGACAAAAAGTTAGCTGACCAGGCACAAAGCCATATACACACACCTGAAACACAAGTTACTTCCGCTTACACAGACACTCTGTGTTCCCTTTACAAGAATGAAGGAATTGCACATTTGGTAGCAGATACGTAGGAGATTAAACTGCAACAGAGGCAACTACAATGGCAGTCTCCATGAATTAACATCTAACAATGTTAACAAAAGTGAATTTTATTTTTCTTCATGTTCCTTCATCCAAATCTACAATAAAGAAATTTAAACAAGAGCTAAATCAAAACCAAAGCAGACAACAGACAACTCATTCTAGTTCTAGTATTGAAACAATGAATGCTCACAGTTCCTGACCTGCAGCTGAACCATAATGTGAGCTTTTAAATAGCTTATAATGTCTGTATCCATTTAAAATTACTTCGGTTTAACCCTGGTATGAAACAAGTAAATTTACAGTGTTGACATTTACATTTACTCAGTTGGCAGACAATTTAATCCAAAGCTACTTATAACTGAGGAACAACACTAAAGCTTCAGTTCAGCAGGAGACTTTGAAATAAGCACTAACTGCTAAATCTGTTCAAAGTGTTGGAGCACAGGCAAAAACAGTTTGGGTTTTTTAACAAGTCTTTTTTTTGTTTTAGCAAATCCAGTTTGTGGAGGATAAGCAGGAGTTCAGCAGGTTCCCCACCAAGGCAGGACGCCGCTCCCTGTCCCGCTCCATCTCTCAGTCATCCACAGACAGCTACAGCTCCGGTAAGAAGGGGACTCGGACTGACACGTGCTCCAGAGTTAAATTTACCTTTACTATAATATATTTCATGTAATTCATCAATATACTATAGTCATCACATTTCAGTCCCTCAAAGTAAGAAGCAGATCTTGATCAACTGTTGTCATCTTGTTAAGGTGCTGACTTAGTGTTGGGTCATCTGTTTGTCTTTTAATGCGATGAGTTCTTTGAAAACCACGTTTCCTTCACAGCTGCATCATATACGGACAGCTCTGATGATGAGACATCACCACGAGACAAAACACAGGTCAACTCCAAGGGCAGCAGCGACTTCTGTGTCAAGAACATCAAACAGGCTGAATTCGGCAGACGTGAGATTGAGATCGCAGAGCAAGGTGAGACACAGTAAAGATGCAGTTACAACACTGTTTCACATTCACCCATTAAACACAACACTGATGTGAAATATAGTTGTGATCAAGAAAAGGAAAATAAATCTTCTTTAAAATTGCGTTTATCTAGCTTTATTTTAGAAATCTGATCGTCTTTCTATTGGACTTCAGTCTATAAAGCTGCCTCGACGGACAAAATAATATTTTGTGAGTTTCTTGTGCATCATCTGCTTTCCTGTTTTTCCCACTCATCCCTTTTTATATGTTCTCTTGTTTTCAGATATGTCTGCGCTGATCTCTCTCCGGAAGCGAGCACAGAGCGAGAAACCATTGGCAGGTGCCAAAATAGTGGGCTGCACTCACATCACTGCCCAGACTGCAGTAAGATTTCTCTCTGAGCTTCACACTGCAGTGTGATAGTGACTCTTTATCTGAGTAGGAGTCAAGGTCAGGTTTATTCACAGTTTCTGCACCACTTACTGAACAGACATCAGAAGTAGTTTATAACTTTACATCAACCCTGATATTATCTCTTGAAATCATTAAGAACTACAGGTTCCTTTTAACATTCTGTGTTACTGAATATTACAATGTAGAAATGATAGATATGTGGAATTATTGATGAGCAAAAAGCTCTTTTATGACCATTTTCCTCTACACATTTGTGTTTTCAGGTGCTGATTGAAACTCTGGTGGCTCTTGGGGCTCAGTGCCGCTGGACCGCCTGTAACATTTACTCTACACAGAATGAAGTGGCCGCTGCTCTGTCAGAGACAGGTTAGCAGTACAGATGGAAGAGAACGTTTATTTATGGAGCTCAAACACCATCACTTATTCAACCTGACACTGCACTTGACTGAAGTCAGAAAATCATCTGTATTATAGTTGCACTTGATTTTATATAAAAATAAAAGTAATATAATGTTTGTAAGAGACCTTCTTATAAGTATGTGGTGTTTTTGTTCTGGTTGTTTTTTTACAAACCACATGTGAGCAGCTTGTTTTCTTCAGAACCAGGGATACTGTTTGGAAATGAACACTTAGTTTCATGAACTCTTGAAAAACCAGCCGTGCAGAGATAATGAGATTACATAAGATTTACCATTTAGTGAAAGAACAGCACCACTAGAGCTTTTTATCTTTGGTTGCTATGTGATGGTTTAAGTATGGGCTAAATTCCCACTGTAGATCTTAAACGATCTGACAAGCTGAGGGAGTTACTAGAGATTTAGGAGCAACTCAGTGAATTATGCGTTTTGTTTGTGGTATGTGTCCACTGCCCAGTAAGTTACTGCTGTGCATATTTGACTACATGTTAAGCTGTGCTATGAAGAAAAAATAAACATTTTCATTAAGCTATGGGACATCTAGGAAGCACAAACGTCTGCCATTGTTGCCCCTATAGTGATATATAATATATAGTCTCCTGAGAACTGCATTAAATGATATCTTCACAAATGCAGAATTATTATACATTACTAAAAGTTGTAAACCAAATCGTTGAGTGTGTGTTTTAAAATAATTCACTTTCACAGTGTCAGTGACCCTGCTCTCATTCACAGTCATACATGGAGATTTGAAAGTGTTTCTCTAAGGGCAGCATTGAGATTCTAATGTAATCTCTCTTTTTTGAAGGTTAAGGGGAGTGTTCATCTGTCTGGTGTTGTTGATGTAAGATTTCTGAAGGTATAACCCAACTGTTGTGTCTCAGGTGTGGCTGTGTTTGCCTGGAAGGGGGAGTCTGAGGATGACTTTTGGTGGTGCATCGACCGCTGTGTCAACAATGAGGGTTGGCAACCTAACATGGTTTGTGAAAGTTTTTCATTTATCTTGTGTGGGGGCAGTCCACTGTTGAGTTCCTTAGCAGCAATAGACTCTGACTTGTGAATACTATATTGAATATGTTGTCACAGTTCCATAAGAACTTAAATATGTCACAGTACAAAGCAGTAAATGTAAAACTGAACGTGTGTTTTCTATTGTCTCTTGAAATGTTGAAATAGTGAGTGCCTTGCTGTGCAATATTCATTATACTCTCACAGTGCTGTCTCTTGACCCATGTTCATAAATAGAAATAATAACTGTTTCTTGTCACCCATTAGATCCTTGATGATGGGGGAGACTTGACACACTGGATGTACAAGAAATACCCTAATGTCTTCAGGAAAATCAGGGGCATCGTAGAGGAGAGTGTCACTGGGGTTCACAGGTAATTTAACGCGCATCAGATTCTCTGTAGATATTTAACTATGCACAAATATGAAATGAAATGTTTCTGCCTTCTTCACCCAAGGTTGTATCAGCTGTCTAAAGCTGGGAAACTGTGTGTGCCAGCGATGAATGTAAATGACTCTGTGACAAAGCAGAAGTTTGACAACCTGTACTGCTGCAGAGAGTCGATCCTGGATGGGTGAGTACCTTTGCCTTTTGAGGTATTTGATTGTTGGAAAGCTGAACAACAACATACTATAACTTGCGTTTAAACATGAGAACAGTTTGTGTATTGGACGGCTTTACATAGACTTAAAAGGTTTCAAGGGGAGATACATCTTTGAAAAAGGTCCTTCCTCCTTTTTTTAGAGAGTTAAATACACTGAGACACCATTGACATGACGGTCGATGTTTAACAGCAGAGCGTGGTCAAACTCTCATGGCTGTTGTTAAAAAAGTGCTGCCTGTTTGACGCTCCTCTGCACATTGCAAACTCTCTCTGCAGAACCATCACGGAAACAGCCTGAAAACGAGTTACTGTTGTATTTATTATCCTGCTGTTAATTATCACCTAGGCAGCACAGGAACAGTCTGTACTATTTAACAATGTCTCCACAGGTCTGAATTGGGTCAGTGCTTTCTACAGCCCTGACTCTTTATTTATTGCTGCACCGTCTGATGAATTATCTGCAGGTTACACTGATTGTCTTGTAGCATGTGTTCCATTATTAGCTATGGCTCTAAATGTCATCATCAAGAGACCATTACATTTTTTATAGTGGGGCATTTGAAATGAGCCAAATAACTTTCTACTGCTTGATCTTAAGCTGCTTTTAGACATGGACATAAATCTGATTCAAAATCAGAAGAAAGTCTGGACCATGTTTGCCAAACATTTCCCAGAGTTCATGTCTGAAAACAGCCATACTAAGATGCAAGCTTTTGACACATATGAAGTGGAATATGAGTTTTTTCACTTCTGCAAGATGTGCCACTTTGATTTCTCTGCAGCTTGAAGAGAACCACAGACGTGATGTTCGGAGGCAAACAGGTGGTCGTTTGTGGGTATGGAGAGGTGAGACGCTGCTTTTAACTTCAACATAAACTACTGTTTACGACATATCTGCGAAAAACTCCTGATGATACGTTGCGATGCAGTTTATTTTTAAATATAAATAATTTCTTTATCAATATTAGGGTTGTCTGAATATGTATATGTTGCATGTCACCGTGTATTATTTTCTTTTTGCAGGTTGGAAAGGGTTGTTGTGCTGCTCTGAAAGCTCTGGGAGCCATCGTCTGCATTACAGAGATCGATCCCATCTGTGCCCTGCAGGCCTGGTGAGGAAAATAGGAACTGGGATGATGTCCATACTGAATACATTAACACAAACTGCAGAACGAGGGGAGACAGGATATACTGTATATCCACTGAAGATAGCTAGAATCAATTTGTTTGCTAATTATCTGAGAAATTATGTCAGATTACGAAGTTCACCGAGTTGGCAGTAACACAAAGTTGCTTATGGGGTTTAGTTGCTTGTCAATTAATAATCGATTGTTCACTGAGACTGAACGTTGACCATCTCTTTTCACTTCTGTGTGAACAGCATGGATGGATTCAGGGTGGTCAAGCTGAACGAGGTCATTCGCCAGGTTGATGTCATCATCACATGCACTGGTAACTTGACACTTCTCAGTGGGATGTACATTATACTGTATTTCACCGTCCTTTGCATTATTTCTAAGGGCTGTTTGCTAATTGTGTCCTAAGTGGTCGATGATATACTCTGAAAGAAGGTGAATGATTTTGTACAATTGTAGGGAACAAGAATGTGGTGACCAGAGACCAGCTGGACCGAATGAAAAATGGCTCCATTGTCTGCAACATGGGACACTCTAACACTGAGATTGATGTGGTATGTAAGTGTTTGTAATGGAAACAATCCAAGTTAAATTTATGCTCCAGGATGTTTGTCCTCAAAGACAAAGTGCCATCAGTCACATTGTGTTGAGCGACCATAAAAAACATGAGGGAGACTGATTTCCTCGTCTCTTCCAGGCAAGTCTCCGGACCCCTGAGCTAACCTGGGAGAGAGTGCGCTCTCAGGTGGACCACGTCATCTGGCCTGATGGGAAGAGAGTAATACTTCTAGCTGAGGTGAGTAGATCTGTGTAGCTTGTAATCATATGTAATACATACAGATAATTGAAATAATTTGCTCTCAGCCTGTGGATAATGGAAACTGGAAATCTTTGATTGTTTAAGCCACATTCTCATAATAATACCACCTTAACTTAGTTTTATCAGTTCAGGATTGCTTGGTAAAAACAGTCTATTTATAGATAAAGTTCCTCACACAAACTAAACAACCCTTCCACATTACTTATACAGGTCATTTTTCATGCTGAGTAACTGACCAGTATAGATTTCTGTCTTGGGAAAAGCTGAGCAACAGGTAGATTTTTAAGGTAGACTGTATAATGATGGAGGACATGTCTGCTCCACAAAAATGAATCCAAGCACCTCGATTGCCACCGGGTGATCGCCTGCCGCTTTTGTAATTTAATGTTCTTGTTCTTGACAACATGTTTTCTTCCACAGGGACGTCTGCTTAACCTCAGCTGCTCCACTGTCCCCACCTTTGTCTTGTCCATCACAGCCACCACTCAGGTAACGTGTTGATCAATGTTAATTATAGCAGCTAATGACAGAGTCGTTTTTGTAAGTCCACTGCAGATAGCAGAGTATACAGGGTTCATCATGTGCTTTTCCCTTTGCTGTGATTATTTGGCCATCCCTGCAGAGAAGCTCCAACTCTGACCTGAAAATGTCATCAGTAATAATAAAACACATGAGTAGAACAGATTGTATCTGAGCTGAGTTTGTTTCAGTAATAAAACAGATCCCTGCATGTAAAGAGATAATAGCATGTCAGTGTCTACAGTACACGTGCAGCTACATGTTTCTTCTTTCATTGCTCTAGAAAAAGAGGTTCATAGTTGCATTTATAGCTCTTCATTAAATTGTTAATGTTTCCAACAGTTTCATTAATGCTTGTTTGTTTTCAGGCTCTGGCACTTATAGAGTTGTACAATGCTCCTGAGGGACGATACAAGCAGGATGTTTACTTGCTTCCCAAGAAGATGGGTGAGGATGTAGATAACTAACTATCTGTAGACCCAAGACCCTGTGAAACGGTCAGATTGCCATTATTCTTATTAAACCATATCTATATCATTTCAGATGAATATGTTGCCAGTCTCCATCTGACGACGTTCGATGCTCACCTGACAGAACTGTCTGATGAGCAGGCAAAATACCTGGGCCTCAACAAGAACGGTCCTTTTAAACCCAACTACTACAGGTACAGGTTTACCTATTTTCAATATTTTAGTGCTTTGTGCTTTTGTGATGGTTAAATAACTATTTTACATCAATTATATTTTCAAAATAATGAAAGATGTCCTCCACAAATGATTAGAATTCAATCTAAACATAATATATTTTGTCAGAACAGCATCATAGGTGAACTTATACTAATTGGTGCGCGTGTGTGCGCGTGTGCGTGCATTGCTATATTTGTCCACTTAACTTACATTCCATATGCCAAAGGTGCTGGGACCCTCAAATAACCCTGTTTTTGCTGTTCACAGGTATTAGTCTGCAGAGGAACCACCAGCACAGCTGAATGTGGATGGTACCTGACATCACCTATCCCTCAGAATAAAAAAGCATTCATGTGTATTGTATTTTTATACTGATCACAGGATGCACAGCTTCTATTTAGATGTATTCCACTGATCACAGTAAAAATTAACTCCACCTGCTGCTTCCAACAGACGATGGCACCCAGCTGACAACTACAGCCCTTATATCTGCTGTTTTTAATGCATCCGTTTCCATCGATGACTCCCAGGTTTTTTAGATTTCAGATAGATATTGATCAGTGTATCACTATCTTGTGCCAAATGACCGCGACAGAGAAGGATTACAGTTGTGAAATGTCAATGGAAAAAGTTCAATAACATTTTTTAAAAACCCTCAAAGCTTTTTTAGCCACTTTTAGCTCAGTGTTTTGGCTCTTTGTCAACCTCCTGTATGAAAACATTGGCAGCCATTTCAAGATAAGAAGCTTTGACAAATCTAGAAGAGCCAGTGTTAACTCCTGGCTCATGAGCTAAGAGCAAAGAAAAAGGTTTTCTCTTGAGTTGGTGGATCAATCAGTGCTAAAAATCCTGGGAAAACTAGACTTTAATGGATCAGGTGTCTGGAAATATGATAATTCAATGTCACTGTTTTTCTGCTGGTAGGAAATTGTTTGCTTACAAATGAGCCATAGCTACTTGATAAGCTGATTATAAATCAATGCTGTGCGTCTGTAAGTCTCGTTTTGCAAAATTGCTCATCGCAGCTTTAATGTTTTCTTTCTATAGTTGATATGTATGCACTTATTCACATAATACATTCCATCCACAAGATGCAGAAAACATGTAACAGATATGGGCAAATAAGAACTTCTGCACTTTTTGATTATAGCAAACATAAGAGGAGAGCTTGGTTTTTATTTTCTTGAAAAGATGTGTCCATTTTTTGAGGTTTTGGCATCTGGTAACAAAAGTATCTGCACCTCAGGGTATTCAAATATCTCAAATGATCTGTAAATATATTTTTATCACATCAGCACTGTCTCACTGACTAATCTCACTGTCATTCTCATAGAAATCCTATTAAGAGTAAAGGTTTAAAATAATTTTAGATATTTTGATACTCTATGATCTATGTCATCTGTGAATTTTACCTGTCTAGAGTAAGTCGAATATTGAAGCTTTGTATAGTCTGTATGTGTGACAGTGTTTGATGAGCCACTCTAACAATGGTATTTGCTGGAATGCAACACTGAGTCTGTTGTAAGATTTGTCACAGGACTCTGATCCTGTGTTTACTAGAGCAGTGGTTCCCAAACTTGGGGTTGGGACCTCCCCGGGGGGTCGTGAGACACAGAAGTAGTGTTGTGAGATGATTTCCAGAAATCAAATACTTTATAAAAACAATTCTCAGTATCCTATTTTAGCCATAATTGTTCCAAAAGCTAAAACATACCTTCTGATTTTCTTTGGCTCCATGTAACCCCTGAGGTTATTATGATGGATCAGTTGCAGCAGGTTAATTTAAAGCACCACAGGAAACATATATGTGACATTTTCTGTGAACTCTCTCAAATCAATGGCTCGGTTATTTGGGGATTGTAGGCTGAGAAGTTTGGGAACTTCTGAACAAGAGGATGTCTGTTTTTCTATTAAAATATTTTATCAACAGTTAATGTAACTTAAATCCTGAAAAGCTCTGGGCCTAGACATGGACGAGCTTTAGTCAACACATTTATGGGTCTTGAAAGATGTATTAACTTTACCTCTATGTTATCTTCCTCTGTTGCACCATTATTATAACTATTCTAATAATTCTAATGCTACCTGACTTTGTTTCCTGAATATTTGCATTGTTTAAGAGGCTTAAGCTCTGTTTCGTGGAGCTTGTTAAAAGCACAACATCAACAAACCACATCTACTTATCTATATTCACATTTTCAAATTTTTTGAAAGAGTGTTCAAATCCAAAACCTTTTTTCTGACTATATGTGCAGGTAGTAGATCTTTCTGGATATGAAGCTCTTCATCTGCAGTATTTTACGCCTGTGAACAGTATTTTCAGAACAGTTTCCGTCCATAACAAGTGTTATCTTGTGTTTCTCCACATTCCTGTGGGTTTTTTTTGCAGTAATTTCTTATTTTCTGTTTTAATAGGTTAATTGTTGTCACTCACTGCCATTTATTGAATAGTATCCTTCTGTGTGCAACTAGGAAGTTCTCTAGTCTTTGCACTACTGCAGCTTTAAGGGCATTAGACCCAAAGACTTTCAGTGAGGACGTCATTGTCGACAAGATGAGCGCTGTAACCATGGTTACTGATCATTTGACAGTGCCTTGCCTTGCCTGTGACTCACTTAATAATTTATACACACATGTCCAACTATGTGGTAATGGTTAATATTCTGCAATATACAGTAATAGCTATGCAGTGAATCATACTTCAGAGTACTTCAGTTCAGTGTTTCTAAATGAGCAGTTTTTCACATTACTTAAATATGCATAACTGGGAGATCAGTTTACATTTTACATTTTAAATTATGGTGTTCTAATGTAGGTTTAACATTTATTTTATAGTTCACTGCCTGTGAAAGCTAGAATCTGATGTTTGGATTATGTGTTAATCCTGTGACTAGCACTTGGAGAAATCTCTGTCTTTATGTGTCCGTCCTTTAATTTTCTCTACAACTGCTGATATGGTCGATGTAAAACCTGGCAGGTGTATTTCATGCGTTTCTGGGAAGTGCAGTGTTGAATACAAACTGAACGTTTGTCAAGAACCAAACCCAAACCCAACTTGGCCATTTGACAGCTTGTTGTATTGTGAGTCTGATCATAGAGCTCATTACCTTCACTAGGCTGTCTTTGTAACTGTCATGGACGAGTGAAAAACATCATTAGTTCAAAAGAAACCAACGTTATGCTGGTAACAGGAAGTGAAGTTTACAGTTTAGTATTATAAGAGGAATCAGAGGTGATTATGTTGTTTCCGAGAAATGCTCCATTGTTGCCGGTTTTGATGTGAACACCAAATTCTGTGAAGAGTATATTCGCTATAAGCCTATATTTTCATCATCATAACTGTGTTTAAGTTTGACACAATACATGCTGTTAACTTTCTGTGCACAATTCCCTTTAATAAACTGCTGTTAAAGTTTAAAAATGTGCTCAGATATACGTCATTTCACTGACATGACTAGATGCATTACATAGAGTAGTGAGACCCATTCACTTTTTTCAGGCTAGTGCATTTCATTGTTCACCTGCCTAAATGAAGCAGGACTTGTTTATCTACACCTGGTAAAGAATTCAGCAGCAAGACGTCTCACAAACACTCGACGTAGAAAACACCTCAATCGAGTTCAGATTCCCCAGATTGCGTTTGTCACCTTTAATAGACTATAATCTGGCCCTGATTTATATTTCAGAACTTTTCC